TGCCGCACTCTGGATTGCGCCGCCGAACCTTGCAGCCATGCCGCAGGCGGCCGTCGACCTGGGGAACAAGCAGCTTCGGTTCGCCCTGGGTTTGATCGCGCTGGCCCGCTTCCTGGGAGCCCCCGTCTGCTTCGAGAACCCAGGTAGCTCCTGGGTTTGGAGCACGCCCGCCTTGAAGGCCCTGCTGGGGGCCCACGATGCCGTGGCGTTCAACCTCGACATGTGTGGTTTCGGGGCCCGCTGGAGAAAGTTCACGCGGATCGCTTGCTGGGCCCGACATCATTCAGACGCTCTCCTGAGGCCGCGATGCAGTGGTAGAAAGGTTTTTTTTCTGATAAGCCGCGTATTGTTCTTTTTGGCCTGGACCCCGTCTCTGGGATCCTTTGGACCCGCTTCGCCGAAACTTACCCTGTTAAGTTTTGCAATGTGTTCTCCGAATTCATTGCAAGGCAAACCGGTTCTCAAGGCTCCAAGCGTTTGGTTTCCCTTGCCTGTCCCGTCTAAAATAAGTTATATTGCTAATGTTCTGGTTTCTGTCTATTTCTGTGTATGTATTATCGGCGCCGTCCTGCCGTCGCCACTTCTCCTCTCGGGTTCGGGTCTCCTCCTCGGTGTTGTGTGGGTGCGTTGGGTCCTCCTCCTCCTCTCTCTCCTCTGTGTGTCTCGTTCGCCTGCTGTTGCGCCTTGGGTGGAATCGCCCGGGACGCCCTCCAGGCAGAAATGTTTGGGGTGGCCTGGGGTGTAGCAGGAGATGGCCGTGTTTGCACATCCCATCTCCAGTGGAACCGAAGGCCGTCGTGGTCACGCATCTTCGCCGCGACCGCGTCGGCACAAGTCATTTTCTGGCCCGCCCTCCTCTCCCTCTTTTTTCTCTCCTCCTCGGTGTTGTGTGGGTGCGTTGGGTCCTCCTCGTCCTCGTCTCTCTCCTCTGTGTGTCTTGTTCGCATGTTGCTGCGCGTTCGGTGGAATCGCCCGGGACGGAATCCACACAGAAATGTTTGGGGTGGCTTGGGGTGTAGCAGGAGATGATGATGATGCTGATGATGATGCTGATGATGGTGATGTTGATGATGGTGATGATGATGACGATGGTGATGATGATGATGATGATGATGATGCTGCCGATGATGATGACGAGGAGGAGGAGGGCAAGCAGCAGGGTTGAGCAGGAGTTCGCAAGGATGAAGGAGGGAATGGGGGGGATTCCGTTGGTCCGGTTAGCATGGAGCTGCTGTGGGACTCGTGAGGGCGGCTGGTTGCGGGATGACGATGGTGATGCTTACGCTGGCCATGACGGTCTTTACGGTGACGGTGGCGATGGTAGCAGTGACAGTCAAGATGGCGATGGTGGTGACGTTGGCGACCGTAGCGACGGTGACGGTGGCGATGGTGGATTGTAACGACAACGCCGCCGATGACGATGCCTTCCCCTCTCCTACCCCACCTCCCCCTCCCATTTGCCCCTCCGTCCCTACCTCGCTCGTCCTTGATAGCGATTGTGGGGAGACCGCCGCCGCACCCTTGGGCGGCGCATCCGGCACCGCCGACCCCTCCCCGTCGCAGGCCGGCTCGCTGTGCTGCCAGGGCGCAGACTCGGCTGCGCCCCGGGCCTGGAGTGTGGCGGCCTCGCCGCCCGCTGCCGCCGGTGCCGCCGCCGCCGTCCGGCGCCGTCTCCGCCGCCGCCGGTGCTGCCAGCGCCGCCGTGGGGATGGGGGCGGCAACGGTGACGGCGCCGCTGGACGGTGGCAGCGGGCGGTGGCGGCGGCTCCGAGGCCTGCGCCGCTCCTTGCTGCTCCGCCGAGGCTGGCGCCGGCGCAGGCGGCCGCCCAGGCCCGTTGCTCCATGTCGGGCGTTGCCCAAGGGACAGAAAGCCACGCAGACCCCGACAAGTGGCGTTTACGAAACGGCCCTGGGCGTTCACTAAACAGCCCTGCCCTGTTCGATTCTTTCTTGGGGTGCTTTACGAAGCGGCTTCGCTTGTCGGGGTGATTATTGTGCGGGGGGATTTTCTGCTCCAGTTGCCCAAGGTATCACTGGTCGCGTGCGCCACTTTCAAGCACTCACCAAGCCACCCCAACCCAACCCCGATATCCCAGAGCCCCCAAAATGTCGGGTTCTGGGGTGTACGAGTTCCATCGTGGTGTCTCGATGTTCTGGAGCTCCCCCCACCGAAAGTTGACAGGCCCGACGGCGACCTCTGGTCGGGTTGGGGTGGCTTGGTAGGTAGTCACCAATCCCATGGGGTTGGATAGAACCCCCCTTCCCTGCCGAGTCGACCAGTGAATCCGCCCGAGGGGCCTCCTGTTTCCTCGACGGGGTGTCGCGGCCGCCTTCCTTTCTGCGGGCCTGCATCCGCGGGTTTTACATACAGTCGGACAGAGGTATGAGATCGAGGTCGGTTCGGCCCTAATGTTCTTCGTGCTTTTCGAATGCTCTCGTGCAGCCTGGGGAGGGTACCCTTGAATGTTTTGTATGTTCTGGCCTGCGGAGGGTCTCATGCTCTTGGAGGATGGTCGTCTATCTTCGCGAGAGGGTTGTCTGCTGAAGGTGGCTCTGTCCCCGAGTTGCTTAGGGGGGCCCAGCAGGAGCCCGACACCGCTCAGTGGGCTTCTCCCTCACCTCATCCCTCTCCCCATGCTCCTCCCTAGCTTTTCCCGTCCTCCCTCTTTGATGGGCCGATGTTCCACCACCACTATCACAGGTAGGAGAAGGAGGATGAGGAGGCGGAGGAGCAGTAGGAGGAGGAATAACTCCCCATCCTCCCTTCTCCGCCGTCATACCTGTGGTAGTGGTGGTGGTAAATTGGCCCATCACTACCTCCTCCGATCTGCCACATTTGGCGCTGTAGGCCCTGCGGCCACCAGGTGTTTTGCGCGGGCTTCTCTTCAAGCGCTGCTCTTTCCATCCCCTTCAGCCATGAATTCCCCAGAGGAGAAGTCTTGCATATAGATCTCGACAACCTCTTGCCCCCTGTGAGGGAGGAGGGGAGGAGGGGGAGGAGGAGGAGGAGGAAGAGGAGAAGAGGAGGAGGAAGAGGAGGAGGAGGAGAAGCAGTACAGCAATATGTCTTTGTTCGCACTCTGGCCACTGAAAGTACGACAGCGTTCAGATGACGTGACTGCTGGCTTGCCCGAGCGGTCGGCCGGGGCTCTCCGTGAGCACCAGCTGCAGCTAGTTCGCCACTGCCCTACCAGGGCAGCAGCTCGGGATTCGTGGCTGCAGAGCGTACGTGAATAGATTCACGCAAACCACATTTTGGGACGCACCATGTACATATCGCTCTGCAACCACGTGGACGCACCCAATGTTTCAAATTTACAGCTGTGGGACGGACTGCACACGCACGCGCGTACGGGGACAAGAGGCCAGAGGAAATAATAACAACATGTCCGTAATTGTTATCGAGCTCCTGGCTCCAGAATCTTTCCCCGCAGAGCATCTCCACGAGGAATGGACGGCCCGTCGGCGGGCAATCCACGCGAGAAGGGGTGCGCATCATCAGCCCGCGCGCGCGCCGCCCAGAACGGGGACTGGAAGCATCCCCAAGTGATACGACTTCGGCCCAGAACGTATCATCGAGGGTCGGTCGCGTGGAGAGGGGAAGAGGCTAAGAAGAGAAGTGTGCAATGAGGAGGGGGAGGGGAGAGGAGGAGATTGGCCCGGCTACCAGGCAGAGTCGAAGGTTAAATGCCGCGACTCGGCCCCGACTGTAGCACCGATCCTGGGGCGGGGTCCTTCGGCCAACTCCCGCCGAGGCGATGCCAAACGCTGCCTAGCACCCCTTCGGGCCATGCGAAACGGGTAACTGCGGGGGTCCCCGGCCGCGGCGGCACTCCACAAGAACACGACGAGGCCTGAGGAAGCCGTGAGGATGGGGATGCCAGAAATACCTTCGATCCACTGGGATACGAAATACTCTTCCCAAGCCAGAATCTTCAGAGCACTGCAGTAGCGGATGCCACGCCGGATAGGCGTCGGCACCTACACGGGAAGGCCAACGCTTGCACTCTCAGCCAGGGCAGCTCCGACCGCCAAGCCTACGCACAGACAGACGACACAACATGCAAGGACCTTAAACAAACATATGATTTGGCCGTCGGGCCTGCCAAGGGCATCCGGGCTAGGCGGCAAAGGCTCTCAGTCGACCTCCCCCTGCAGCATCGCCACAACAGCCTTGACGGTCTCCACCCTGGTCCTGGGCGGGGCCTCCCCGCCCTCGCTGCGCAACGCACAGAGTAACTGGTTCACCTCTGGGAGCGGCTGCCCACTGAACTCATCGTGAACAGCCTGCCAGGTCTGCCTCTTTGGAGACCAGCTGCTGGATGGCTGCACCTCCCACGATCTGGGCCTCCGCCTGCACGGCGCGGAGGGTCTTCGGGGAGAGACACGGGTCCTCGGGCTTGCGGGACGACCCCGGGTCAGGGCGCATCGTAGGCTGCATTTTTTCTCGGATCTTGGAGGAGGCGGAGGAGGAGGAGGAGGAGGAGGAGGAGGAGGAGGAGGAGGAGGAGGACGCGGAGGCGGAGGCGGAGGCGGAGGAGGAGGAGGAGGAGCAGGAGGAGGAGGAGGATGAGGAGGTGGAGGAGGAGGAGGGGGGAGGAGGAGGGGGCTTTTTGGAGTTCGCGTCGCCACAGAACGAGCATCCCTGCCCGTTCAATGTTCAGGAGTGCCCTTGCATCCCTGGCTGTGTAGGTGGAGATATTCCCCAGCCTCCCAGCTCTGACTGTCCGGCTGGCAGTAGCAACGGCGGCCCTCCCGCATCCAGCCTCTTCGGGGTGGGATCAGGGCGCCTGCTGGTCAGCCCTGGGAGGAGGGTGGACGGAGGGGTGAGAGGGGGAGGGGGGAGAGGTGAAGGGGGAGGAGCCCACCTCCACGCCATTCCCGCGCGCGCCCCCTCTTGTTCGCAGCCGTGGGGGCCGCAGTCATCCGCGCAGGCTGGCCGGCTCGAGCCCCCGCCGCGACCCTCCGCCAGGGGACCGGGGAATCCGCCGCGACGGGCCATGGCATGGGCCGCGGAATGGGCAGGTTTTCGGCTCCTCCTCGCCTCCTCCTCCTCCTCCTCCTCCTCGTCCTCCTCTTCCTCATCTGTCCTCCTCTTTCTCGCCTTCTCATCCCCTCTCTTCCTGCTATTCCTCTTCCTCTCTTTTCCTCCTGCTCATGCTCTTCCTCTGCCCTCCTCCTCTGCCCTCCTCCTTCTCCTCCTCCTCCTCCTCCTCCTCCTCCTCCAAGAAGCCTTTCGGGCTCCCACGCGCGCGGGGGCGCGTGGAGGGCGCTTCCGACGGCCCCAGCCGCCGATGGCCCTCTCGGACTCACGAACTGCTTGCCGATCCAGCGCCCATCGCAGTACATCGGTTTACGTCATACAAGTCTGCTCTGCTGCCTCGGCCTGGGAAAGCCCCGCCTTGGCTACCACCGCGAGCTGATGCTGGTCGTCGTAGATGGCCCGCAGCGCGCGGAAGGCCTTCCTGCACTTGGCCACTGCATGTGACTCTTGGCTGGTGGCAGCTCTGGCAACGCCGTCCATGGAGCCATCACCGCCACCCGCAGTAATCCGCCCAGGACGTACAGCACAAGCCGCCCCAGCTGAGCGAGGACTGCCCATCGAACGCGGCCTCTGCTGCAACTTCGTTCCCTTGGCGGCCGTTGGTCTACCCATGCGGTCTTTGCCGCACGCCCACCATGTCTCGCGGTTCGGGAAGTTGTCGGCGAACCCGCAGGCCCACGTGGCAGCACACGCCCAGATTTGTCGTTTTGCGCCACGAGCAGGTGGAGCACGCTGCTGCCACGGGGCCGCCCTGAGTCCAGGGGCCGTTGGCATGGCCTCGCCGTGGTGTTTCGCCAGCAGCCTGCGGGCCCCCGCCTCGCGGAGGACCTGGCGGGCCGAGGTGCGCCGCTGCCGAAAGCGACGTCTCAGAGCTCGCCAGGGCCAAGGAGAATATCAACACGGTCCACAAGCAGCTGGATGGGGTCCAGCGAGGAGGTGGCTCAGGCGAGGATCGCCAACGTTGCCCCGGCTGTCGGAGGTGACGCAGCTACCACGGTGGTCGCCTTGCAGCAGCTTCTTCAGGGGGCTCACGTTTCCATCCAGCAGGACCAAGACCGCAACATCGTGGGCTGCGCGCTCTCGGGGCAGCTGGCCGGACATGTTCGCGCAATGGGCGAAGCCATTCCGCAGGCGGCAGCTCCCGCGGCAGGGGGGGCGCTTTTCGCATTGCGGGCGGGCAGCCCGCAGACGCCAGCGCCAATGCAGCAGCACCTGCGACGCCAGCAGCACCAGCAATTCCTAGCACCGCGGACGTGTTCGAGCACTTGGCTGCGGCGCAGAGCGGCGAGGCAGCCACCTGGGAGTTTGCAAACGTCAAGTTGCAGGGCGCCGAGGGGCGATCAGAGGTCGGCGGCGAGCATCGTGACGTACCACGACTTTCGCCGACGAGCTTTCCAATTGTTCCTACTGCGCGGAGCGGATGACGCGCTGGTGGTGACAGCGCAAGAGTTTCGACTTGACGGGGTGCTCTGGACGCTGCGAGGACCTGGGCGATCCCGACTGGGTGGCAGCCATTCATCAGCCCGTGTCGCAGGTTGGAGTCGAAGTTGCCGGGCGCGAGTGTTGGGATCTTTGTCGAAGCACATGTGCCCATTGGGTTGACGAGTGAGCCTGGGGGCGTCATTGACGGTTTTGAGATCATGCGCTCGCGGGTGGCGGCAGCGCGCGTGGGTGCGGCAGTGCGGGGGGGATTCATCGTGGGCATGGCCTAGGTGGAATCGGCATCGGCGACGGACTACGCGCGTGGCAACAATCAGAATCTCAGGCACACTGCGGAGTGCATGAGGTGTTTTTTTTTTGTTCGGCCCCACGCGCGTCCGCTGGTGACTGGAATGCGGGGCCACGGTTACTTGAGGAGCTTGGCTTCTCGAGGGCGATACCAGCGGCGTTGGTGGCGCCTGCGTCGGGCACGCGTCGAGCGGCGACAACGGGGGCGCACGAGACGATTGACAACTGGCTGGCGCCCCCAGACTTCGCCTGGGCACCCGGGGGCCCCATCGCGCTGGGTGCCTGGACGCCGAGACCACATTCCCCAGCGAGGTCGGATGCCGATGCGAAGCCAAGGGCTCGCAGTCAGATTCATATGTGGGTGCCCTAAGCATTTGCACGACAGACTCCTCGACGCGCAGGGGCCAGCCCAGTGCCGGGCCCTCCTCCGACACAGCAGCATTTCGAAGCTGTGAGACAAGAGGCGGCTAGAGGCAGACCTGATGATCGGGGGCAGGCTCAAGCCAGATTGGACCCCGCACGCCAGCTCCTTCACTTTCGTTGAACGTCGCGGAGAGGTGCACTGGCAGGGCGCATCGCCCAATGCGCGCATGGCGCCCTATGGGCGGCCCGATCTTGAAGGGGGCGCCTGCTGCTGGATCTCAACCGAGGTGTCTCAGGAACGCGGCGCGCGTTTTGCCGGGCTTGGGCAGCGCGTTCAATCGATCGATCCAGGAGGGCAAGAGGTGGGTCAGACTCGCCGGAGCACTCGGGCCTGGACATCGGCGCGACATCCACACGGAAGAAGGCATTCGACCATTCAGTTGGGTTTTGCCCGCAAGGCGTTTGGCGCGCAGCTGGCGGAGAGGCCGCGGAGGAGAAGGGCGAGGGGGGAAGGCGCGCGGAGGCATTCATGAGTTTCGACGAGGTAGCGCCTGGCGATTGCGACGCCGGCGCCCCCCGGACAGCCGAGCGCCGCATGTATTCAGCCGCCGAGACCGCGGTCACCAAGCGCGGCGCCGTTCTGACCAACGAGGATGTGTCGAGGGTGTCAAAGGAGGTCGCCTCGGCCGTCCTCGAAAAGCTCACCATCTGGGTCAAGTGCGCGCGTTTCGAGAGGCGACCGCTCAAGGTCGCCCGAAACGCACCGGGCCCTAGGCGCGTCTGCAAGCGGGGTCACCGGGGTGAATCAGACGTCAAGACTGCCCGGATAATCCGGCGCCGCGCGGCTGAAAGGGGCTCCTGCGACGGGGGGCGGGGCCCGGGGCGTTCGCAGGCGGGCAGCGGGCGTCGCTGCGCCCGCTGCCCTTGGAGGCGGCGCGTCGCCCAGGCAGGGCGCGCGTCGCCGCGGGCGTCGAGGAGGCGCCCCCGCGAGGCATGGCTTACCGCGAGAGGTTCGGCGCGCGGGCCGAGCGCCTTCGTCGCCCCCAGCTGGGCACGGGCCGCGAGGGTGCGCCCCGAGTCGGAGCTCGCGGCAATAATGGCTCGGAGCTAGTGCCTAGTGCTCACTCTGGCCGAGCAGTTTAGCGACTCGAAGATCGCTGGACACGCGGGGCGCGTCGACCTGCTGATCGGCCACGTCGAGAGCGCCATCGGTAAGATGAAGGGTGAGCGCGACGATTTCACCGACTGCGGAGTGCGCCGGCGCCGCAGTGAAGATGGCACCGTGACGCTCGACCAGGGCAAAAGCATAGGCGTATTGATGCCGATCGGGCACGTCGACCTGGTCGAGGCCGAGGATGACGGGCTGGTCGGAGGTCGGCTTCTAGACGCCTGCGTTTCCTTCCAGGGAGCAGCGTCCCGCGCCCTGCGCGCCCGGCACCGCGTCGCCGCGCGCATCGTCGCCCTGCAGAGAGCCAAGAACAAGCTGCTCGGCCGACGCGCGACGCAGGTCGAGGCAGTTGTGCGGGCCGCGCAGGATGTCAAGGCACGCGTCGCAGTCCCGGCCGCGGAGAGAGCTGGGCGACTCACAGCGCGCGCAGCGACGGGTCGTTCGAGAGGGGGTGGGGGGGCAGGGCTCGGCGTAGGGGGGGCCGTGTGCACGCGTCTCGGCAAGCGCCGCCGTCCCGTCAGACGGGGGCGGGCGGCTTTTGCTGGATGCAGAAGCTGGCGCACCTTTTCGCGCTTCGCGACAGGCCGCCTGCGGCATCTGGCCGACCAGTTGCGCGCCGAGCACACTGGGGATTTCATCTTGCGCCGTTTCTTGGACGCGCGGGCCGACCCCGTGGCCGACGACGTCGCGGGCCGGGACCTCATCGTCAAAGCGAGGCAAGGCCATATCAAATACGACCATGCAGCGGTCAAGTTTAGCGACAAGAAGTGGAAAGATACCGTCCCGAGCTCCTAGCAAAGCCTTCTCACCCAACAGCGACGACGCGGCTCTTGCGACTGCGTCGCAAGGTTGACCTCCGCATCGGCAGTTTTCTTGATGGGAAAACACACAGGCACAATGAATCGTCGATTCCCCCGAAATTTCGGACATTATGGGGAATTTGGGGAGAACTACTAGGACCCAGTAGATATAGGACAATATTGGGAATCCTGTTGCTGTGTGTATGTATTGTTGTGCCTCTGGGCCCGTCAAATTCTGCAGGCACTGACTGGCGAGGGCAATATGACAGCCGAGGATGCACGCGGTTGCTTCCCCAGCTAATTCGGTAGTTGAGCGGCAGCAGCCACGCAGCTTCACCAATAGTCTCTCCCTCGTAGCAAACTGGCAATGTTTAGCGCGGGGTGCCGTCAGACGAACACCCCATCTGTCCAGAGCGCGGTCAGCACAGTCGTCCTGGCATGCGGTTTTTGCGTTCAAGATGCGCCTTGTGGAGCACCCATCTTCTTCGCAAATAGTGTCAGCGAGTGCACGGGATACTTGTTTGAACACAAATTTCGTACGGGATCCATCCTGCCTTTTCTCACCCCTGCTCCAGGTCGCGCCCCGCTCATAGCTTTAGCTTCAGACGCTTAGTGTCGCTATGCAAGGCACCCCGCTTTACACCACATCCCTTCTTACATCCATTTCTCTGGTGAGACGTCCCTCCCCACCCTCTTTGCAGAGGTCCGCCCGGCGGTGCCAAGGGAGGCCGCCCCCCCCTCCCCGTTCGCGACAGCCGCGATCTCGCGGATGCCCGCTACCACGCCCGTGCGTAGAACGGGGGGGGGAGACAGCGACAGAGAGAGAGAGAGAGAAACAGAAACATAAGAAAACACAGCAGAGAGCGAGAGAGATATATACATTTACCAATGAGAGAGAGAGAGAGAGAGAGAGATGGAGAGGAGGGACCAGGAGGGAGGTGGAATAACCGACGGATGCGCGTGTCTTATACAAGTCGTGCCATGATTCTAGCCAGCGTCGGCGTGCGTGGATCTCGAGAAGAGCACCATCCACATGCGCTTCCGCTCTCCTCCACGCGTGCTGCTGTGCATCGTCGGACGGCAGCCGTGCGGCTCCTAACGGCATATTCGATCGCACGGTTATTGCGGTGCTTGCTCCGCGGGGTGTTTGGGCGAGCGCCCCTTGTGGCTTGGTTTCTGGAACCAAAGTGTTTAAGGCGGGGCAAGGGGGAGGATGAGAGGATGACGGGCTTGGAGGAAAGAAGGAAATGGAGAAGAGAGCTGGGATGAGGGAGTCAGGAAGAGTGATGCGGGAAAAGAAGATTTGAAGAGGGATGATGACGGGGAGAAGCTGGAGGAGCATGCGGGTGAGAGCCGGAGTGTACGCAGGGTACGCAGTGTTCCCATCAGCCGATTCGTCCTGTTTGCGACAGTTGGCGCAATAAAGTAGAACATCGCCTGCCTGGGCGGCCGCAGCCACGAAACGAACTGATGCCCTCTGTTGTCCCGGTTCAGACCAGTGCTCGTTTCCTGCATCTTCTCCTCGAGCCCACTCTATTCGAGTAGGGGTCGACTACATAATTGATTTACCCCAGATCCCATCTGTTCGTCGAATCCATGAGAAATTCATAAGATGTTCGTAGGTCTACGAGCAGTCTACGTATGACTGGACGAGAAGGTCAAGTCGATTATGTAGTCGATTCTCCAACTCGATCCATGTCTGACCACACAAGACCTGCCAACTCCCTGCCTCCTTCCTCCTCCGTGATTGCCCCCTATTTTCAAAAACGGCTCTTCGTGAAGTGCCATCGCGCGGGAAGCCCCAGGCAAGTTGAGGGTACGCTGTCAGACCAGAGTCCCTGATCCTCCCTCTGGTTTGGAAGGTTCTCCGTGAAGTCCCACCGCGCGGGAAGCCCCCGTTAAGTTTGAGGGTCACGCTGTCAGAGGAACGCGGTGCCTAGCTGGCCAGGGGCTGCCCAACGGGTAGGGAGACCAGGGTGTGCCTGGCGAGGCAATATGTGGTTACAACCTGCAATGGCAGGCCATTACAGGCTAGTTTCCGCGGGCAGGGTGCAGCTTGCCCACAACCGGGAAGCGTTTCGCCATACGTGGAAATTTGGAGGGCTCCAGCGTGGTCTGTCTGGGTCTGGCAATCAGGAGCGTTGGATTGCCAATATAATGCTAAGGGCATTTGGGCCCCTACGCTGCCTGAGCGAGACAGCAGGACTGCACGGGGCGGAAGAGGGTCCGCTCCGCGAGGCAAACCTGCGGCTGCGGGCTGGGGCAAGCCTTCCGCGGCACCGCAGTTCGCGCCGCTCCTAGCTGCGTGGCATTGGGCTCCCCAGGATAGATGGGATTTGACCCAGACATCCCCAGCGCGCCGATTTTTTGGGGGGATGGGCCCCGCACCTATCGAACCCTCCCCCAGGACAGGTTTTCATGCCCAGTCGTGCTGTGACGCCGTCCACGCCCGAAACTGGCTCTCAGAGGCCAAGATTGAAAAAATACAAGCCGCCTCGATTTTTTCAAGGCGCCGGATGTCTGGGGAGGTGGCGACGGGCTCCGCGGAGGGCCTTAGTTTCGTGAACGCTGCAGCGCGCTGGCGCACCAGCGGTGGTCGGAGAGGAGGGGGAGGAGGAGGGGGAGGGGGAGGAGGAGGAAGAGGAGGAGGAGGAGGAGGAGGAGGAGGAGGAGGAGGAGGAGGAGGAGGAGGAGGAGGCGGGGGAGGCGGGGGAGGAGGAGGAGGACGAGGAGGCGGAGGAGGAGGAGGAGGCGGAATGGGACGAGGTTCCGTCCAAGGCCGTGCTGCACAGATCCTTGCGATCGTTGGCCAAGTTGCCGCTCTGCTGCAATGGCAGGCCCGATTTGCCCAGGACCATTACCGCACGATTGGCTACGATTGCGGAACATTTAGCATGGCCTTTTATGAGACAAGAACGATTCGGCTATGGCATTGGTTACATAGTAGCATTAGGTCAACTTCGTGACAAGCATGTTGGAGCGTCCGGGGATGTGGAGGGGGAGAGGAAGTGGAAGGCAAGGGGAGCAGGAGGGTCATGAACAGCAGGAGGCGGCGGATGTGGCGGCGGCAGGCTCTTGAGCCCCATGCGGAGCGACGCCTCGAATATTGTTGTGATCTTGTGATCCTGTAGGGAAGACGGTCAGTCGACCCGGGGATATTATCAAACTAGAAGTCAAGCGTTTCCAAGAGCCTTCGATCCAGGAGTCGCTGGCTGGTAGGAGACTCTTGAGGATTACGCCACATCCCCCGACCCCTTGTTCTTTCCATGAGATTATTTCGGGCGTCTGGGAGCGCGCCACGGCACTCAGTTCGCCTGTCTTGGCTTCCGTCGAATGCTGGGGTCGCTCCGCAGATCCAGCGCTCATATATCCCACACGCGCAGGATTGAACGCGGCAACACTGCCCGCCCGAGGTCCCCCAACTAAGTCTCCGGACGCCCCCCGGAGGCAGCGGAAGCCCTCGCAATTATGGTGTGCAGTGGGGATCCCAGTGGGTGTCATCAATTCTGATGTTTCCCGGGGCTCCCGCTCCAGACATATATCGTAGTTCGTTATTATGTTATGTGTGGGGCATTTGATACGATGCAGATCTTTAGGGAACCCGTCCCCGAGGGGGGGAAAGCTGGGTTGGAAGAGTTAGCGCGGCGGACCAGCGTCGCCCTCAAGGGCTGGACGCAGTTACAATTTAGCTGTCCGCTTTGCAGCGAAATGGATGCCTCACGTGCGCACTCCAGGTCCTGATCGCCTGTGTGGCGCGCGGACTCCCTCGCTCGTGCGAGGCGCGCCCTTCTTGGAACAGGGGCTTCGCGAGGGGCCCAGGGCCTCCCGTTTGGGCGGGCGCCTGTCGTCCGCCCCGCGCGTTTGAATGGACCCCGGAGCGACTACAGATCGGATGACGCCACGATTACGGGAGGGGGGGGGATGCGGGGACCAATGGGAAGGAGGAAGCAAGACATGAGAGGAGGAGGAGGAGGCAGGAACGAGTTGGTTGGAGATAGTTGAAAAAGCGAAGGGTAAAAGGTATACGGCATCAGCAGAAACGATTGGGGGAACGAGGGGGAATCCTGCTCCTCGCCATCCTCTCCCTGCTGCCCCCCCCCCTCGCCCCTCTCCTCCCCCTGCCCCCCCCCCATCCCCCTTTGGCTCCCCGCGGGAATCGGGCGCTGCCAGGGGCGCCCCTGGCCCACGGCGGCCCCGGGATTCCCAGCGCCCCCCCCCCCCCGCCCGCGCACGCGGCTTGGCACGCCTCGCGAGGCCACGACCCCAGGGGTTCCGAGATGGCGGGGAAAGCTGGGGGCGTCTTGGGCAAGGAACACCTCCGGCACCCCGAGGAGGAGGGGGAAGAGGAGGAAGAGGAGGAGGAGAACGACGAGGAGGAGGAAGTCCAGTGTAAACCCAAAGTCGCCAACGATGTTGGAATAAACCCTCCCTCCAAGCTCCCTCTTAAGATGCCTCTACGACGGTTGATTTCCACTGAGGGAATTGCCTCGTTGGAAGACAACCGTGTGAAGTCCATGCAACATGCCAAAGCATCGTTTTCGGGATTCCAACGCCACGGATCAACCTGATTGTGTCGTTTTGACAATCCGGAATCGTGCCAGAACGCCACTCCTTGGATTTCAGCACTGCGAATAAACGTAACTGTTGCGCCTTCATAATCTTGAACCCGTCCAAACTACTAGTCTTGCACGCTGGTCATGGGAATCCGTGAAGCTCGTTGCATTGTTTAACGACTGTGCGCGGCGCTCTGGCGAGAGTCACATTTTGAAAAGGAGCCGACCTCCATCCGCGAATTGTGAAAGATGTAAAAAACGAAGATACGCGGCGCTAAGGCGAGAGCCACATTTTGAAATTTACCCACCTTCAATCCGTGAAACCCTTGCAAATGTTTGAAACGAATCTGCGCAATGCTAAGGCGAGAGCCACATTTTGAGAACAACCCGCCGTCAATCCGTGAAGCTCCTGCACATGTTACAAACGAATGCGCGCGGCGCTAAGGGGAGAGCCACATGTTGAAAACCACCCGCCCTCGATCCGCGAAGCTCTAGCAAACGTTTGAAACGAATGTGCGCGGCAATAAAGCGAGAACGGCGGTAAACGGTCTGCCCTCAATCGGTGAAGTGTTTGCATATGTTTGAAACGAAAGTACGCGGCGCGAAGGCGAGAGCCACATTTTGAATAACACCCGCCCTCCATTTGAGAGACTGTTGTCAACTCTTAAGTTTGAGGGTCGTAAATGGTAAGAAATCTCAGGCGAAACGCCCAGCCCGCCCAAAAAACGGGCCCCGGGGTGCGACAGGGAGGAGGAGGAGGAGGAGGAGGAGGAGGAGGAGGAGGAGGAGGAGGAGGAGGAGAAAAAGGAAGAGGAGGAGGAGGAGGAGGACGACGACGACGAGGACGAGGAGGAAGAGGAGGAGGAGGAGGATGCGGATGGGGAGGGGCATGAGGGGGATGTGAAGACCTGGCATGAGGAGTGGACACAGCTACGTGTGGGCGCCCATGCTCAGGTGGTGGGTGGGCTTTCCCCGCTTCGAATGGCAGTAGAAAGGGTCGGACGAGCAAGCATGGGTCGTTACGACTGCGGCGTTGGCTTTTGACACCGCGTGCATCGTTCAACCTTGGGCGATCGCAGCTTCCCGATAGCGCCAAATTTGGTCACTGGCGACGTTCACCCTTGAACGCCTGCGACAGGATCGCCGCCATGAGTTCCATGAATTGCGGGCGGTGAGGAGGGGGGTTGGTCCGCACGGACTGCATCCTAGCTGGACAGGCCAAACCCGGACGGGGACCGAACACAGTTGTACGGATGTATTCCATACGGCAGCATCTTCCGAGAGGGTGGCAATGGCGTGGCAGCCTAGCCGGCGCGAGCTCCAGCCCCGCCCTTCCTGCCCTTCCCGGCCGAGCTCCAGAGAGCGTGCGTGCTCCAGGTGCCGCCGCCGGGCGGCAAGGGCGGCGCCAAGGGCCCCGGCGCTCCAGGTAAGGGCTGGCAAGGCGGGTGGGCGGGCGCAGGGCGCGGGTAACGTTCGAGGGGGTAGGCTCAGGTAAGGGATGCATCGGCCCCCCATCGCACAGTGCGGGCAGCAACAAACATTAACAGAAGCATAAAAAACCTCGGAGATCCGCGCGGAGTCTTCGGATCGGCACTGGGGGCCTCTGGCGGCGCCTCTGGCGCCGCTCCTGGCTTGATCCTGTCATTGGGGCCCCCCGTTAGCAGTGTAATCCCTCTCCTGCTCCTCTCTTCCTCCCCCCTTTGTCTCCCCTCCGCAGCCGCCCCCTGTCTTTTTCTACCCGCCCACCCAGCTAGCAGGGCGGATCCTCGCCGCTCGACAGAGGCGGGTGGGGGTCCAAAATGGACTCATCTCACTGGCCGCCAGTCAAATGGTCGCCCTCTCTCCCTATCCCCCCCGGTATAGAGTGGACCGTCGTCGGGTATTTCTGTGCTCATGCCATGTTTCGTTTCCCTAAGATGTCGGATAAGGGGCCCGATAGCCCACCCCGCCCGGGAACATGTGGTTTCGCTATCGGGGGCCCATCGTTTTATCGGCGATGTATAGCCGATTCCAGGCTGATGTTCCCCCCCTGTACCAATCCCCCCCGATCGTTGCCCCTCGCACCCTCGCGTCTTTGACCATAACTGAACGGGCGGTGTCGGTCCACTGTCTGTGTCGGACGGCAAGGGGCGGATCTGAGGAAACGAGGTTATTTGCGACATTTGCGGGCGCGCAGCTGGTTTCGGCCTCGGCGCCGGGCGCATTCCTGCCCGTGGGCGCTTCTTGTGAGTGAACTACGTGAGCTGATTCGCAGAGCCCCGCTTACATGATCCCCCTTTTTCGCCCGACCCGATTGGGACCCCCGGGCCCTCAGGGTGATCGCTTGGGCTCACAAATTCCTGCAGCACGACGCTGTCGAGGGTTCTCGTCGTCTCCTTTGGCGGCGTCGTGATCATTATTCACCACTTCGTGTCTCTGGGGACAGCGTTGACAATGGCGCACGCCTCGACGCCAAACCCCGCCCGGACATACCAACGATACGTCTTTTCTTGCTCTTCATCTGGAGGGCCCATGCCGGTAGTTGGGGTACCCCCAAAGCGGGAGCGTCCTTCCCTCCTCCCTCCACCTGTCTGTTAAGCACTCCATCTATGTTTCTTTTCCTTCTCCCTCCATGGCCCATGCCGATCTGATCGCTCCGATTCGAGGCCGGCCCCATCCGACATGATACCGATGTTCTAGACGATTCGCTTAACCCCGGCAGCCCATCCAGAAACGTTGCCCTGGCGGGTTGCCCTGATCAGGGATGTAGAGGAGCATGCAGTGGAACAACGGGCTGGGGAAGCCGTCGTGCCCAGAGAGGGGGAGTATGGAGGAGGAATCGGAGGAGGAGGAGGAGGAGGAGGAGGAAGAGGAGAAAATGAGGAGGAGGAAGAGGAGGGGGGGGAGGGGGAAGCGGGGCAAGGCAGGAACAGGCTGAAGAGGAGGGGGATTGCGAACAAAATGGCCAGGGTGACTTCGGATGTGTTTTGAAAGCTTCTTGGACTCCTGCTGTGGCGCCTTGGGGGCTTCTTGGCTGTCCTGCGGGCCTCTTCGAGCGCATGGGAGTATTCAGGAGAGCCCCTTGGCTCTTGGGGGTCTCGTGGGAGCGTATTCGGGACCTCTTGGGGGCGTCTTGCGTGTTTTTGGACGGTTCTTGGGGCACTCCTGGGAGCCTTGAGGGCCGTCTTGGAGGAGGTCGATCAAAGAAGGGGGGTCCTCCCCCAGGAGGCCAACACGGGCCCAACACCTACGCAAGATCAAGGATTTGTGCCTTCTAGCCGATGCCTTCTTGGACGCTCCAATCCGTTGCGAACCCCAACGTCCAAGTCCAGGGGAAGAGGTATGGGGAAGGGGTTGAGCGCTCTCAACACCCACGCGCTAAAGGGCTGGTGGGAGTCCGACGATCCGATGCGCGATGCGGCCCGATGTTTGCGTGGCGCTGCTGTGCAGCCTGGCGCGACCGATCCGCATCGGTTTCGACTTTGTGCCGACGCGGCACCATTCCGATTCGTTCCGATTTCGCCACTCGATGTTGGTTGTTCTTTCCTCCCTCCGTCCATCATGAACGCCAGGGCTCCCTCGAGAAACCCCAGGAGAGCCCAACACACGTCTCTAGAAGTCCTCCAGAAATTTAACTGGCACCCCCAACAAAAAACATCCAGAAGCGTCCTCAGACCTTCCCAAACAACAACAGCAGAAACCACGTTGCCTCCCCCTCTCGATTCCCTCTCGGGGGCGTCGGCTATCCTCCTGCACCGCATCGATCTTGGCCAGCCCGATCCTTCGCCCAGGGTCGGTGCAAATGCCTTCCTCACCTAGCCAGAGAGGGAGGACGTGGCGCTCACATCCTCCCTGCTCCGAGGGTGCGTCTGGCCAGCATTCGAAGAACAAGCCACCACATAGGCATGAGGTTTTGGAAATCCGCGCACATTTCTGGGGTGAGCGCTGGACCCCCGCCTAGCGTCGCCGTCCGTGGCGCGCTCCGCGCGCAGGGAAAGGGGGTCCAGCGCCGACAGGAAATCCGCGCGAACCTCCGAAAGTTGATGCTTATGCCGTTCTGTTCTTTTGAGAATGGACGTAGGCGTGTAGCTGTTGTACTCTAGCCCTCGTCCTGCCGTGAAGGTGGCTGGGGCGGCAAGCCTGAAGCCGCCGAGTGGGAGGAGGAGCCGCCTGGCATCAAGGGCTGCGGCGCTGGCTGGAAGGGCGGACAGCCCGGGCCTTACCAGTGGGCCGAGCGCGCCGTCGTCGCCCTCGCCGCCCTCGGACGAAAAGCATGGCGACTCGGAAGAAAAGCATGGCGCCCGAAGTCGAAGCGGAACAAGCGGCATAGCAATACATGTTCGAAAGTGCGCGGATCTCTTCGATCTGCGGGGCCCTCCCCAGGCGAGCTCCGCGCGCCAGGGAGGGGGCCAGCGGGGACCGCCGAACTTGTATGTTTATATGCAGCTGTTACGTATTCTGCGAGGCTTGTTGTTTTATTTCCACCCCCTCGGGGTGCCGTCTCGGGGCCCCTGGGCCTTCACCAGCAAGCTGCCGGGGGCGAGAAGCCAGCCCACGGGGGAGGGGCCCGAGAGTCCTGGGGGCCGCCAGCTCGGAGAGGCCATTGCTCGCAAAGTGCCTACTCGCAAAGGTCAGAAAAACAGGTCTCCCTGTCTGTAATGTCTCGTAAATCCTCCGCGGCGGACCCAGGCCATTTGCGCGTACGTAGTCATTGCGAAGGCCCTACGGCCAGTGCCGCCGACCCTGAAGACGACGAAAGGGGGAGCAGGAGGAGGAGGCAGAGGAAGTGCCCTCACCCTCCGGGGATCCACGTGGGACCCCCCCCCCGGGGGAGGGGAGTAATTACGACGTTGCTCAGATTGGCTTCCCCCCGCGTCGCGGCCGCTCCCCTCCCCCGCGAATGGAGCTGCCCAGGTGCTCCCCTCCCCCCGGGTATCTGGGGGACCCCCCCTCCCGCCCCCTCCCCCGGGGGAGGGGATAAAAGGGAAGGGGCTTCCCTTCGATCGAGTAACTACGACGTTGCTCAGATTGGCTTCTCCCCTGCGTCGCGGCCGCTCCCTTCCCCCGAAGGGAGCTGCCCGGGTGTTCTCCACTAGAAGTAGTAGCTGTGGTAGTAGTAGAAATGGTAGTAGCAGCAGCAATAGTACTAGCAGTAGTCGTAGTCGTAGTAGAACTGGTACAGTACTAGTAGTACTCGTCGCCGTAGTAGTAGTAGTACTAGTAATAGTGAAAATGGTAGCGGAAGTGGTCGGAGTATCAGTAGTCGTAGTAGTACTGGTAGTGGTAGTGATAACAGACGTAGTCGTAGTAGTAGTAGTAGTAGTAGTAGTAGTAGTAGTAGTAGTCGTAGTAGTAGTAGTAGTAGTAGTAGTAGTAGTAGTAGTAGTAGTAGTAGTAGTAGTAGTAGTAGTAGTAGCAGCAGCAGTAGCAGTAGCAGTAGCAGTAGCAGTAGCAGTAGCAGTAGCAGTAGTAGCAGCAGCTGTAGTCATGATAGGAGCAGTAGTAGCAGTAGTAGTAGTAGTAGTAGTAGTAGTAGTAGTAGTAGTAGTAGCAGTAGTAGTACTAATAGTAGCAGTAGCAGTAGCAGTAGCAGTAGCAGTAGCAGTAGCAGTAGTAGCAGCAATGATAGCAGCAGTAGTCATGATAGGAGCAGTAGTAGCAGTAGTAGTAGTAGTAGTAGTAGTAGTAGTAGTAGTAGTAGTAGCAGTAGTAGTCGTAGTAGTAGTAGTAATAAGAATCGTAGTAGTAGTAGAAGTATAAGTAGTCGCGGCCGGTCCCCTCGCATGGGGGGAGCAGGCTGCCCCCCCTGGTCGCGGCCGCTCCCCTCCCCCGATGGGAGCCGACCACCCCTCTTGGAGCCGACGTGACGATCTCGTGGGCAGCGTGGGCGACGACGACGACGACGACCCACGCAAGATGACGACATCAAGATACGTCTTCCACACGCCGACAGGGTCGGCGGATTTTGCCAGTAATGGGGGGCGACAACCCCTAAGGGTCTCACTCGGCGGTGAGTAGGACTGGTCCTAAAACCTCCTCTTCCTCCCCCTCTCCCCCTCCTCCCGTGTCTCCTCCTCGTTCTCCCCCAAGCACTTCCTCCTCCTCGTAGTCGCAGCTGTCGTCACCGTTGTTGCGCTGCTGGTGCCGCGGACAACAATAATCAGTTCCCCCATATTGGCGGAATCCCAGTCGTTCAATGAGGCCGCCAGAAAAAAGAATGAGTTACCCCCTATTGGGGGGGTTCTCAAGACCCTTCGCGATTAAATGAAGGAGCAGCGAGGGCTGCAGAAAAGGGGCCTTGCAGGGCCCCTCCAGGGGCCCTCTGAGACCCACAAGGGGGCCTTTCAGGCCCGAGAAGTGCACCTCCCTCCCCCAAAACAAACATTCACGCCTCCCCACGAAGCGACGTCCAGTCTTCAGAAGGCGGGGGGGCGCTGCGGGGAAGCCTTCCCCCACGCCTTCTCAGAAGCTCCCCCGTCTTCTCAAAAGGTCGCCCCTCCCCCAGCCCCACCCCTTCCCTTGTGCGCGCCCCGAACCCCCTCATCCCCCATCTCCCTGAGCTGTGGTGGCTGCAGCGGAAGTTCCGAATCCTGGCAGGCCAGGACCACCGGAAGACGCGAGTCAAACGGGGCGTCTTGCGTTCGGAGCCTTTGGCACGTGCGGGCGTAAGCGCGCTTCGTCTGCGGTGTGTTGTCGTTTTGCGTATTGCTCTGCTCGGGGTCTGTTTCCCGTGTGCAGTGACACCTCCCTGCCCCGCGAATCCGCCACCGTTGTGAGTGGGCGCCTGGGGGAGGGCGTGGTTTGGGGCCTGGGGTTCCCGGGGAAGGCCGGGGGTGCCAGGGAACCTCGCACCCGCATGGGAGCGAAAGCGCGCGGGGAGGTGATCCACCATGGAAACACATGTTCGGACCGATCCGTCGGGGGATTTAGACCGTTGTCTCGCAAACACCGAAACAAGCAAACAAAAACAAAGGGGTCGACACGCCTTCACACACCAACCGCTGCAAGCGCTGAGGCCCGATGAAGATTTCCGTTCAGGGAGACGCCTGCCCCAAGGCGGCTGGACTCCTTCTACCCCCGCTGACTCCTTCTACCCCCGCTGAGCAAATTTTGGGTATTGTGCGCATGTTCGGTGTTTTGCTCGAGGATTTCGCAGAGGCGCGCCGATAACCTCGCCGAGCCTCGGCGGTGTTCATAATATGAACTTCACGCACATTTGCACAGGATCCCTCCCATGTACCGCCTGCCACGCGATGGCACTTTCACGGTGCCCGCCGAGCTCCTCGCTTAGGAGAGGAGTCCGTGCAACGGGCTCCCCAAATTAGCCAGACGCGATTGCCTCGGCCACACTGCTCTGTGTCGAGCCTGACCCGAGAGTCGGTTGTGGCAGCGTACTGGTGATGGTATTTTCCTCGGTGTGGAGATCCGCACATTCCCGCGGTATCCATCCAACGACTGTGCGTGGTTTCTCTTTTTTCATCATCTTTGCCGCCCACGTGTTTGTCCTCCCCATCATGTTTCAGAAGCTTACCAGACATCCAGATTCTCGTCTGAGTGCTCTCCACCAGGCCAGTGTTGGTGTGAGAAGGTCGCCAGAAGTAGGTTGCATGCTCGGATCTCCCACAGCTCGCCCAGAGTAGGCCATGTCTGCCGATCGTGGCCGTGCACAGTTCGCAGGGGCGCCCAGCACGTTCGACGATTCGTCGGTGCTTCGTACAGTCAATCCGCACAGTAAGGATGAGCCACCTTCCAAGGTTAACCCTTGCATCCTCCCCCTTCGGCCAATCCTCGGCCGCTTTCGCTGGCCCCGCCCCGCTCGCAAAGTGCCGACATGGCCTTCCAAGGCCTTTGCATCCTTACCGCGCGCCCGAATTATTCAGGACAGAACAGCGGTGAACATTAACTTTTGCCACCCCCAGTAGAGGGCGCACTCCAGCCCTCCTCGCGCCCTCCGCGATGCCCACCAGAATTGATAAGAGAAGCTCAAGCGCCACGAAATCGTCATCGCCCTCTGGACAAATGTGCGGCCTTTGCGAGGAGGGCGCACAAAAAGTTAATGTTCAAATGTCCTACTGCTTTTTTTCTCTCCTGATATAGGTTGACTGTACATGCGGTGGTGCGCGAGCATCCCGCCTGGCGCTCCGCCGTGCTCCGAGGCTGGGGCCGCCGGCCGGCCAGGGCGGCGCTGCTGGGTGGCAGGCCACGGAGGGACCCCCCCCTTCGGGCAGACGGAAGGCGGGGGGGAGAATAGGGAAAGTCAAGCGTTGGCTGCGCGTCAAAGGATAGTCTAAGAACTTCTTGTGGTGTGCACGAAATGTTATTGAATCGCTTCGCTCATTCCGCCGGCCCGTATTGTGCCATCGCGGGTTCTTGGGGGGTCTTGGGAGCTCTTGGAAGTTTCGTGGGAGCTTCTTGGGAACTTTGGGAGGCCTCGTGGATGGCTCTGGGTGGGCCCTCTTGGTGGTCTCTTGGGGGGGTCTGCCTGGCCTATTGGGGGCCTCCTGGGAGCTTCCTGGGGGTCTCTTGGGGGCCTCTTGGGGCTTTCTTGCGGCCTGTTGGGGGCCTCTTGGGGCTCTCTTGGGGGCTTCGTGGGGCTACTTGGGGGCTTGTAGGGGCATTTCGGGGGCGTGTTTGGGCGGGAGGCTCAAAATTTCCGTTCAGGTTGCCCCTGTGGACCTAAATCATGGGGCCGTCTTGGGGCCTCTTGGAGCGTCTTGAGGGTTTCTTGGGCCTTCTTCGAGCGCTCTTGGGCCGTCTTTGAGCGGTCTTGAGGGTCTCTCGGGCCGTCTTGGGGTGATCTTGAGGGCCTCTTGGACCGCCTTGAAAGTGGTGAAAGACGAAGAGGCGGATATGTTAAACATGCACGCGTTCCTAAGGGAATGAGACGGTTTTGGCTTGTGGGAGCCCTCTTGGGACGCCGCTTAGGGACCTCTTGGGGCGTCTTGAAGGCCTGTTGGGCCGTCTTGAGGCCATCGTAGGCGCTTGGGGGTGATATTTCGGCGTCTCCGGGCTCTCTTGGACCGTCTGGAGGGCTTCTCGGGCCCCTCTTGGACCGATTTGGAGTCCTCCTGGGCTCCGAAAAAGACTTCTTGAGGGTTTCTTGGGCCTTCTTGGAGCGCTCTTGGGCTGTCTTTGAGCGGTCTTGAGGGTCTCTCGGGCCGTCTTGGGGTGATCTTGGGAGCCTCTTGGACCGCCTTGAAAGGTGTGAAAGACGAAGAGGCGGATAGGTTAAAAATGCACGTTTTCCTAAGGAAATGAGGCGATTTTTGCTTGTGGGAGCCCTCTTGGGACGCCGCTTAGGGACCTCTTAGGGACCTCTTGGGGCGTCTTGAAGGCCTGTTGGGCCGTCTTGAGGCCATGGCAGGCGTTTGGGAGTGATATTTCGGCGTCTCCCGGCTCTCTTGGACCGTCTGGAGGGCTTCTCGGGCCCCTCTTGGACCGATTTGGAGCCCTCCTGGGCTCCGAAAAAGAGTTCTTGAGGGTTTCTTGGGCCTTCTTGGAGCGCTCTTGGGCCGTCTTTGAGCGGTCTTGAGGGTCTCTCGGGCCGTCTTGGGGTGATCTTGGGGGCCTCTTGGACCGCCTTGAAAGGTGTGAAAGACGAAGAGGCGGATATTTTAAAAATGCACGTTTTCCTAAGGGAATGGGACGATTTTTGCTTGTAGGAGCCCTCTTGGGGCGCCGCTTAGGGACCTCTTGGGGCGTCTTGAAGGCCTGTTGGGCCGTCTTGAGGCCATGGCAGGCGTTTGGGAATGATTTTTCGGCATCTCCCGGCTCTCTTGGACCGTCTGGAGGGCTTCTCGGACCTCTCTTGGACCGTTTGGAGCCCTCCTGGGCTCCGAAAAGGGACCTTGCCGGGAGTCTGCCGGGAGTCTGCCGGGACCTTGCCGGGAGTCTGCCGGGACCTTGCCGGGACCTTGCTGGGGTACTTTTCGTCCGGGGACCCCCAGGGCCCGCCCCGCGCGCGCGAGCTAGAAATATTGTTGAGCAGTTACCGGAGATCTTAGCACGCCTCTGGCCCGTTGGGCCGGCGAATTAGAACATTTGTGGCTGAGACTGTCTTGTTTGATTACATGGTCTCCATGCTATATGAACATTGCGTTTGTTCCCCACCCGACAGGGTGGGGTTGTTGGATTTCAAGAACAGCCCCCCCGGCCGGCCCTAAACCCAAAGTTGTCCCGATGATCCCCGAGAGTTCGGGGTGTCCCGCCTCGCGCTCGGCCAAACCCACCTTGCATACCGCGGCCGCCAGACCACTTGTTGTCTCGGTGTTCCCCGAGAGTCCCGTGTGTCCCGCCACGCGCCCGCGACGAACACGACAGAGCACAACACGACAGAACAGAACATGACAGAACTGAACAGAACATGACAGAAATTTACAGAACATAACATATCAATGGGTTCGGGGGCGAATCGCCCCCCTGCGCCCCTGCGAAACTCATCAATTCATCCTCTGCCCTCTCTCGCTCTCTCTCCTCTCTCCTTCCTCCCCTCTCCTCTCTCTATCTCTCTCGCTCTCTCTTCCGTGTCGCGCGGCTGCCGTCTTTCCTTCAGTGGGAGCCCCTTCCGAGTCCCGAGATGGTTGATGGTGGTGGTGCTCGGCGGGAGGGGAGGGGGGCACAACAAAAATATGTGTTGAGTGTTTTGTTGATTTGGTTATCTTGCCCCCCAAACAACACCGGCACTGAGGGGGGAGGGAAGGCCCTGTCCACCACCCCCTTTCCCCCAGCATTGCAATCGCATTGCCTTGGCATTGTAGTGCAATCGCATTGCATTGTAATCGCATTGCATTGCAATCGCATTGCAATCGCACTGCACTGCAGTGCAATCTCATTGCATTGGCATGGCCGTGCAAGCGTAATGCATTGCAAAGCGTTGCATCGCATTGCGCTGGATTGCATTGCGTTGCCTCCCTCCCTCCTCCGTCGCCCCAAGACCCAGAAACGTGAAGGGAGGAGAGGTGGGGGGACACGGGGGAGGCCCCGCATTCTTCTCCTTTAGTTCCATGGCCCCCAGATGCAGGTGGGTACTAAAGTAGTAGTACTCTATTGCTACAGTCATGTACTAGAAGTATTGCGGTAGCACGTGATACTAATATTCCCGTAGTGTAGTAGCAGTGCTGCAGTACTGACCGTCGTAGTAGTAGGATTGAGTATTGTAATAATGGTAGTGCCCTACGATTGCAGCATTCCAGATCTGACGCAGTAGTATGATGTGACAGCTCTGTCGTAATATTGTAGTCGTAGTAGCAGTCGATTAGTAGTAGTAGTAGTCGTCGTAGTAGTAGTAGTAGTAGTAGTAGTAGTAGTAGTAGTAGCAGTAGTAGTAGTAGTAGTAGTAGTAGTAGTGGTGATAGTAGTAGTAGTA